ATCCAATGTTATGCTGACATTTATGAGAGTATCATGTGACTCCTCATCCTCATTTTTTTGTATTTGTTTTTGGGTTACACCTGGTAGTGTTCAGGACTTACTCCTGGCTCTCAGGAATTACTCCTGATGGGTTTAGGGGACCATATGGAGTACTGGGAATTGAATCTTGGTTGGCTATGTGCAAGGTTAGCACTTAATTCCTTCATTGTCTCTCCAGTTCCTATGTCCCTATTTTTATTTATTGTATGTCATGTATCATTTCTTCACCTGTTTATTTGCATGTGTTTTTCTTATAAGAAAATTTAATATTTTACTTTAGTATAATTCCTTATTTGCTTTTTAACACAGAATTTTCTAAATAGAATTTATCAGGGGCTTTTAACTTACTTTTACAATATGGCTACATATTGCTGTCCTTCAGTACTCATATCCCATGGAATATGCTTTGAAAATTATGTATGCGATGATTCCCTGAGGTGAATTCAAAGGCTAATATTAGATGATGCCATCATTTTCTTGAAATATTGCCCCTTACTAGACTGGTGTTGGATGTTCTGCTACAGCTTATTAAACAGCAGATGTTTAGATATCCTGCTGTCATCCAGAGAGCAGGTTTATTTTGTAGCAAGTGACACTTCCAGATGGTGAACTGGAAGCAGTCTAGCAAGCTGTTGATGAAGTGACTCAGAAGGTGGTGTGAGGTGTGTGTGGGCAGTCCAAATTCCATTCAAAATTATATGCTAACACCATACTGCATACATTCAAATGGGTTGAAACTTAATACCATGTTTTTGTTTACTCTGTTAATTCAAAAATATTTTATTTTTGTACTAAAATCTACACTTCCTGTGTAACAGTGAAATATTGTTGGCAAGTTTCTTAAGGAGTTGTCAGTTCTGTTTTATAAATTTTAAAAATTCTATATCTAGTACATAATGGGTGCATGACCTTCTCTTTAGATAATCAGATATAATATTTTATTTACTTTGGAATAAAAAACTTAAATTTTTTGCTCTTTATGAATTCAAATAAAGTCCATATTTATTAAAATCATTTTTATAGCTCATTAAATCATCTTTTCAAAATTGATAATATATGAAAGGAGTACTGTATAACTGAGGTATAATTTTTAAGGGGTTGTCCTCATATTATAAAGAGCAAGAATTAGATTAACATTCTTAATTGAACAAAATATTGAATGAGAGCTCTGCCTCACATATGAATGCACATAAAAAACTGTATTAAAAAGTACATTGTTATTACTTAAAGTGTATTGTTTAAAATTCAAATGGTATTTAGATAAAAAGAAGTGCTTAGTTCAATATTTTGATAATTTAGTTTTATAAAATTATGATATAGATATAAAGGATTCAGTGCACAGTGGCCTATTTCCAGGTACAAAATTTTTAAATATAATACCTCCTAGAATAACTCGAAATGTTATGTAGCATAACAGTATATTAATCTAAGTTTAGGAGCTTAAAATATATACAATTATTTTACTATCTCAGACTTTTTTTTGGATCAAGAACATGAGCTAACTTGATCTGATGTGATATCTTCATATTTTTAAGTCTAAGTGTAACCACCAGGGCCCAACAGCTGAAGACCATCGAGGCCCAGCCAAGGCCATGCTGGGAGCACTCTCCACACACTTGGATGAGCCTCACGCATAAAAGAACTGACAGAGGAACCCAGGTGTGTGGGACCCGGGGCTGAGATCTCCAAGCCTGCACAGTTTGGGACTGGACCTGCCAGAGTTACTGACAGTTACACCCACCAACTGCCGTGTAACTCCAACAACGGCCAGGATCCAGAGATCATCACACTCAGCTCCTGGGAGAGAACAAGACAGAGTCTCCTACCCTATGCCTGACTGTCTCCACCAGGGCCCAACAGCTGAAGACCATCGAGGCCCAGCCAAGGCCATGCTGGGAGCACTCTCCACACACTTGGATGAGCCTCACGCATAAAAGAACTGACAGAGGAACCCAGGTGTGTGGGACCCGGGGCTGAGATCTCCAAGCCTGCACAGTTTGGGACTGGACCTGCCAGTAACTAGACAGTTACACCCACCAACTGCCGTGTAACTCCAACAACGGCCAGGATCCAGAGATCATCACACTCAGCTCCCGGAAGCGCGACATCTTATCATCTCATTCCTAATTTGGTCAAACTGGCAGGCTACCAAATGTAACATGCCCACACGGCAGAGTCTGGCAAACTCCCAGTGGTATACCCAATATGCCAAATACCAGTAACAATGATGGGTCTCATTCTCCTAACCCTGAAAAAGCCTTGAATATGGCACTTAAAAAAAAAAATCTCAGGGCTAGGACGAAGAAGACGTTACTGGCACCTGCTCGAGGCAATCGACGAACAACAGGGTGGTCGTGATCGTGATCGTAAGCAGCAGTAACAGTCTCATCTAACATTCTCATAGTTGTTTTCAGTACTTGGTTCCTTTCTAAAGAGTACGCTGGAAATATGAGTTTCTCCTAAGTTTAATGACACAAAAGATAGCAAGGAAGAGTACCCAACTAAACAGAGACAGTCCTTTTATAAACTAATCTTTAAAATGACTTCTCATTATTTTTGTCACACTCTTGTTCATTCCCCAGAAGAAATGTATACACACACACACATATCTATCTATCTATCTATCTATCTATCTATCTATCTATCTAGTTATCTATCTATAAATATATATATTCCTCTTGGAGAACCCGGCAAGCTACCAAGAATATCTCACCCGCACGGCAGAGCCTGGAAAGCTACCTGTGACTTATTCGACATGCCAAACACAATAACAAGTCCCACAATATTACTGGGCCTGTTTGAGCAAATCCATGAACAACAGGATGACAGTGACAGTGATATATATGTTTATATATTTGTACATATATACATATATATATATATTTGGGTACCATATCTGGTGGTACTCAGGAATTACTCCTGACTCTATATTCAGGATTTACTCCTGGCAGTGTTTAGGGGACCAGGTCTGGTGCTAAGAATAAACCAGCTGATCAGTGACAAACAAAGCAAGTACTTTAACTCCCATATTGTCTCTACAGAGCCTAGAGTAAATGCTATTTTGAATATTTTAAAACATAAAATCAGTACTGCATTCAGGCACTGAATTTATACCTAAACAAGCTTAAAACAAACAAATCCAGAAGTCGAGGCAATTTTCTTTTCTTGAAATAAGTGCAACCAACTGTAATACTAATAGTTGGCATCCCATAATTCTACACTGGAAAAAGTTCATTACTCAATCTATGAGATTTGTTTTGCATGATTCCAAAGGGCAATGACTATGTGTATGGACATATAAAATAGCATACATCTAATATATATATATGTGTGTATATATATATAAAAAAATAAAAGGCCCTCCCGTTGATCATCGATTTGCTCGAGCGGGCCCAGTAACGTCTCCATTGGAGACTTTGTTGTCACTGTGTTTGGCATATCAAATACATCACATGGAGCTTGCCAGGCTCTGCCGTGCGGGCGAGATACTCTCGGGAGCTTGCCGGGCTCTCCGAGAGGGGCAGAGGAATCGAACTCAGGTCTGCCATGTTGGCTGCGTGCAAGGCAAACGCCCTACCACTGTGGGCGGTATATAAGCTGGAGCGATAGCCCAGCAGTAGGGCGTTTGCCTTGCACGCAGCCAGCCAGGCCAAGCTGGGTTCGATTCCTTCGCCCCTCTCGGAGAGCCCGGCAAGCTGCCGAGGTATCTCGCCCGCACAACAAAGCCTGACAAGCTACCCATGACATATTCAATATGCCAAACACAGTAACAACAAGTCTCAAAATGGGGACGTTACTGGGCCCGCTCGAGCAAATCGATGAACAATGGGAGGATGGTGTTATTTATATATATATATATATATTTATATATATATATAGTATATATGTATATATATGAGTGTATATATATATGTGTGTGTGTATGTATGTGTGTGTTTTTGTGTGTGTGCATACAGATAATATCCTCATCAGCCACCCTCCAGAACTCACAGCTGCTTCTCTCTCAAGGAAACACAAAATGAGGCCCCATAAACATGTCACTGGACTCTGTGCCAAGCTGTTTTCACTCAGGGCTCCCCAGATGGGGGTGAGTGAGATCCCCACCCCCCAACCCAAAGGAAGCAAGCCCTAGCAGCTGAACTCGACTACTCAACTGCAGCCATGCTTCAAGACGCTTTCCACATGCTCGGACTGGGCCTCACATAGGAGTAAACATATTCCTGGACACATCATAAGACACTCCGTACCCATTTTCCATATTACCACACCATATCTCATGGGGTTCAGACAGTAGGCAACAAAAATAGAGGGAAAAAATATATATATGTATATATGCCTCCAATACGGCAGCGTTGGGAAAGACAAGTAAGGAGAAGCTGCTAAAATCTCAGGCCTGGGATGAATGAATGGAGACGTTATTGGCACCCACTTGAGTAAATAGATGAACAGTGGAATGACAGTGACACAGGGATACAATGATATTTATCTTTGTGTCACACATGGTGGTGCTCAGAGCTGACTACTAGTCCTGTGTTCAGGGATGTGGAGGCCCAGGTGCCTATATGTAATTCTGGGGATTTTCACCCAGATCTTCACATGCAAGTCAAGAGCCCTACCCACTGTACTAATGTTTTGTTCCCTATAATGACAGATATCTTTATGGTAAGGAAACACTTACTTGATAAAGTACTTTTGTAATTCTCCTCAGCTTTTAAAGCCCTTAGGCAAATCAAAATTATTATAACATGGTACTTACAATGACACTGTCTTTCAAACAGATGATTTATATATCATTATAAGTATTCTCCATAACAAATTAAAGATGCACTCCATATTAACATACAAAATAATTGTATTTATGTTAGTTTAAACCATTAAACCATCTATCTAACTATCTATCTATCTATATCTATCTATTTGGTTTTGATTCAGTTGATTGTTTTTCTTTTTGCACGAAGGAGATGGTGGTCCGATCCCGTTCGAAATTTTGGGACAACAGCGACATCAGTCAGGCAAAACCGTCGATTGAATATGATGTGGTCTATTTCGTTGTAGAATCGTCCACCGGGAGACTCCCATGCCCATCGTTTAGATTCTGCCTTCTGGAACTGTGAGTTACCATAAATGGTCTTGGTCGACATGATGAACTCAGACAGTCTCTCACCCTGTTCGTTCCATTCTAGGCCATGGGTCCCGATGTGAAGTTCTTCAGCTGATCTTCTCGGTCCTATCTTGGCATTAAAATCACCCACAATGATCTTGTAGAAGGTGTGGTCTTCTTTATAGAACTTCTCTAGCTCCATGTAGAACTTCTCGATTTCTCTTTCATCATAATGAGATGTTGGTGCGTAGACAACAAAGATAGAAACTGCAGGTAGTGAGTCACATCTATTCAAATGTAAACATCCGATTCGGGTTGTTAGGCATTCGAATGAATCAATGCTCTTGGCCAAGTTTGTGTTGACAAGGACACCGACGCCTCCAACACCTCTTTTATCGCATGTTCCGAGGAACAATTCTTCTCCAGTGTCGAAAACGGCATGGTGAGATTCGTGCCTTCTTGTCTCGGTCAGACCAATGATGTCGTACTTGATCATTCGCGCTTGTACCATCAGGTCCTCGATGGATGCATCTGATGCTAGCGTACGTGCATTGAAAGTACAGATGATCATTTTTGTCTTCCTTCATTGTGGCAGCCTATGTCGGCCATGAGATTTTGTCGGCCTCTCCTTTCTCATCCTTCTCAGTGCTGCCATGTCGGTGAAGCCTTCAGGGTCAGGTGAATGAGACCAGTTGTAGTTACTGGTTTTGGCATATCGAATACCATGCGAGCAAGCCGGGTTCCGCAAAGGATTCAGCACCATCGACCATATCCACACGATAACCAAGCTCATTGAGGTTTCTCGGGAGTTCAAGATGCCGCTCTGTTTAACGTTCATTGATTTAAAGAAGGCCTTTGATTCTGTTGAGACGGAAGTGGTCATTGAAGCCCTAGCCAATCAGGGCATTCAAGCCCAATACATCAGGATCCTCCGTGAGCTGTATTGCGGATTCACTACCAGGATCTCACCATTCTACAAAGAAGTGATCGTTGATGTCAGGAGAGGGGTGCGGCAGGGTGATACCATTTCACCAAAACTCTTCAGTGCCACCCTCGAGAACATCATGCGACGACTGGAATGGGAAGGAATGGGAGTGAAGATAGATGGTCGGCAACTACACCACCTCCGCTTTGCTGATGACATTGTTTTAATAACACCAAACATGAGCCAAGCGGCACAAATGCTGACCAACTTTGACCGTGAGTATGGAAAGGTAGGACTACAGCTGAATCTTACGAAGACAATGTTTATGAGAAACAGCCTTGTTCCTGATGCCTCATTCGCTCTCAATGGAACGACCATCTCCGAATGCAACAGCTATATGTACCTAGGTCGAGAGGTCAACATGACAAATGACCTGGCACCCGAGCTGTGCAGGAGGAAGAGAGTGGCTTGGAACGCCTTCAAGAACGGCAAAGAAATAGCTAAGAGGACGAAGAACCTCCGGCTCTGGGCACATCTCTTTGATTCCACTGTTCTTCCTGCATTAACATATGCCTCAGAGACCTGGGCCCTATGCAAACAGGATGAGAACGCTATTCAGGTCTCCCAAAGAAGAATAGAAAGAGCTATGCTTGGAATATCACGTTTCACTCAAATGAGAGAAAGAATCCGGGAGTTCTGACATCCGCCAACGATCAAGAATCAGGGACGCTGTCTCATTTGCCAAGGTGTCAAAAATCAGATGGGCTGGTCACGTACTGAGATTTAAAGACGACCACTGGACTAAAGCTGTTACTGACTGAATTCCACAGGATGTCAAAAGACCGTGTGGCCGCCCACCTACCAGATGGTCAGACTTCTTCGTCAAGATCATGAACGATCGGTTTGAGGCCCTTCATGCTCCCGGAGTGAACAGATGCCATTGGGCTACACTAGCACGCGACAGGGACAAATGGAGACGTTACTGGCACCCGCTTGAGCAAATCGCCGACTAACGGGAAGTTAAGTGATTAAGTGATTAAGTGATTGTTTTTCTTACTTTGGGGCTTCAGCTAACATTGCTCAGGGTTTATTCCTGGCTATGTGCTCAGCGATCATCTCTGGCAGTGCTTATGTGATAACAGAGTTGAACATGAGTGAGTTTTGTGCAAGGGAAGCACATGAAACCCTGTACTATCTTTCTGTCTCCTGAAATATTTTTCTCTGTAAATTAACAACCATAAAGTAGATTTCAATTTACTTTTATTATGTAAAGTGTCATGTGTCTGCTGACCATCAGAAAGAGGCCTGTCTTCTCCCCCTTGGATCATTTCCACGACTAGGTTGAAATTTCACTATGACTATAGCTTCCACCTTATACTATACAAATAAACTGGTATTAAATTATTAATAGATAAGAGAAATCTTAATAAATTGATGCTAGTATTTAAATTAATGCATTTTGTCCATAAAATACTGCTATGAGAGAATTCAAAGATTCTCTAAAAGACATGTGTAGGAAATATTAGTTCTTTTAAAAATCATTTTCCAAAATCAATGCGGCAGCACACAATATTCATTGACACTCACCCTTTTTTGTTCTTCAGAAAATCCTAATTACCATCTCATATCTAAACATTGGAAAAGGAACGCATCTCAGATCAATATATTATGATAGAGACTTTTAATGATAGCTATCAATATCACACAGCTTTTGTTTGTTAGGCTGACACAGAAAATTAACTCTGCTTTTTCTTGCTTATGATTTGCACTTGCGAATGAACCAGATGGCAGTAAGAATCAGATAAAAGAATAATAAAGTTAAGCTAGAGAAATTGAGATTGTTTGAAACAACATATCATTTCAGATATAAAAACCCTGATGGTTAAATCCTTTCCCTTTTGCTCCTTGCATGAGCTGTCTAATGCATTTATTTCCGTCTACGTTTATTGGAGAATCTGTCCATTAAATTAAACCACGGAAATGCAGGGCAGATGAGTCTTCGTTCTGGGAACTAATAAGCACACTAAGTCATGAACAGTACATCAGATAAGCTGCAGTTTTTCACCTTTCTTACACACCTGGGAGGCATTATACAATTTTTCCTCTGAAGGGGACTTTTTTCCCTTGTCCAGAGGAAATACTTTCCTTATACAGGCTCTAAATAATGATCCACTTTAAGGTAATGCTGTGTAGAGGGACTTGTATAGTAGAAGTACATCACAGGATGTGTGCTGCTAGAAATCCAAGCTTATTACTTTGATGTACCAAATGATGCCACAATTCAAAGATTCCTAAAGTGCTATATGTTTGGCATGCAATGAGGTAAGTGACAAAGACATTCCAATATAGCCTTGCTGCTTCCATGTCAAGGTCTGTATGAAAATGAACCCTGCCTTCCATAAAAAATTATTAAGATACTGCATGAGCATGATCCTTGAGGAGGTTATAAATATGCCCTTATTGCATGAGAGGTTAGTTTTAATAGCACATTAGTTAATAGAAGTTTTTCTGAAAATGAGAAAAAAGATCATAGGGAGCTAAACTGTTGAAGAAACTGAAAGAAGAGATGAACATTTAAGAAAGCACCAATGTTGCAATTTAGTAATTATAAAATAAGTATCAATATTGATATGTATATAGATATTCCATGTACATATGCATAAATTGGTTTCTAAATGCTAAAGTGATATAAATGAAAGATATTTTTATATTTAAAACTTATTTTCTAATTATCCAAAGCTGCATTTTGATAAACTAGCAATTGTTCTATTAACCCTCATAATTCTGTAGAACATGAGCATGAGGAAAATATTTGGACATATTTTCAATATAAAAATGGACATATATTTACATAGAAATGGAATAAATTATAATTTCATGAAGCCATTTGTTCAATAAAATTCTTTCTGTAATATGTTTTGATTATTGCTCTCACAATTTGTGGGTTAAATTCTGCTAGATATTGAGAGAGAAGTCTAGTTAAATATCAAGCAACCTATAATATTCCAAACCTCATATATAATTTCTTATATCAAAGGTGATAAACTTCTGTTTATAATGTATTAAAATAGTCAATTAAAACACAAACTAAAGCTAATATTAATATTCTAAATTAAGATACAATAGTTAAATGCAGTCAAGCACTGTCCTCACATTGCTCATCGATTTGCTCTAGCGGGCACAAGTAACGTGTCCATTGTGAGACTTGTTATTGTTTTTGGCATATAAAATACGTCATGGTTAGCTTGCCAGGCTTTGCCATGAGAGTATCTTCAAGATACTCTTGGTAAATTGCCGGGAAAATGGGCACTGCTGGAGGGATGGGTATTTGATCATTATATAATCGAAACCCAAGCACAAAAATTTGTAAATCTACAACTGTACCTCATGGTGTTTAACTAATACAAATTAAAAAAAAAATTGCCGGAATCTCTGAGAGGGGCGGAGGAGTCGAACAGGGTCGGCCCGGGTCCACTGTGTGCAAGGCAAGCGCCTTGCACTGTGCTATCGCTCTGCCCAATTTCAGTCAATGTACAATTAAAAGAATACATTATCTGAAATGTTTTCTGTGTAATCCCATCAACGGCCAAGACCCAGAGACTATAAAAACCAGCTCCCGGAACCGCGCGACATCTTATTATGTCATCTTATTATCTCATTCCTACTTTGGACAAACTGGCAGGCTACCGAATGTAGCCTGCCCACACGGCAGAGTCTGGCACCCCGTGGCGTACCCAATATGCCAAATACCAGTAACAATGATGGGTCTCATTCTCCTAAAGAGCCTTGAATATAATCTCAAGGCTAGGATGAAGGAGACGTTACTGGGGCCTGCTCGAGGCAATCGACGAATAACAGGATGGTCGTGATTCGTAATTCGCGTCATTTTCCATGAAAGCTTATATATTTTTCTACCTTATCCATGCTTGTTTTCATACATATTTACAATACATCCACACATATTTTATTGTGGTAATGTTGATTTGCAACACTGCATATGTTGTAGGAGTACAGGTTTATACCTCCTTAAATGTGTTACCAAATCACATCTACTACCCAGGTACTGGTAACTCCCACACAGTTTACTTAACTCCCTGAAACTATGGGCTCCCACCCAACTCTCTTATCTCGATTCTACAATCAGAACCCAACAATGTGTCTAATTTTTACTTTTGCTTTCTACTTTATATGTCATATGCAAGAAAAATTACCTTGTATCTGTCTTTCTCCTTTGGTTTTCTTCATATTCCTTCTAGTAATACTGTTATAAGTAGCAATATTTCACTTTTTAATGCTGATTCATATTCACATGTAAATATAGATACATCTTTATCCAAACATCTATCACACCACCATTGTCTCACTGTCTCACTGTCATTCTGTTGTTCATTGATTTGCTCAAGTGGGAGCTAGTAATGTCTCCATTCATCCCAGCCCTGAGATTTTAGCAGCTTCTCCTTACTCTTCCTTCCCAACAATGCCGTATTAGAGGCTCTTTCAGGATCAGGGGAATGAGACTCATTATTGTTACTGTTTTTGTCACATCAAATACACCATGTGTAGCTTGCCAGGCTCTGCCGTGTGGGCAGGATACTCTCGGTAGCTTGCCAGGCTCTCTGAGAGGAACGGAGAATGTATATAAGAAA